CCAAAAACACATTAAGACATTTTCTTCACCGTTAACTCCCAAACACATGGGAAAGCATACTTAGCACCTAAGAGTCATTCAAAAAGGTGCGCCATGACATTAAAACCTCAGTCACGGCCAGAACAGCTCACACACATATCAGATGAAATTAAATCAGTAACACAAACTAGATTGTGACATGAAAGTACTCAACTATGTTTTTAAAAAATTTACTAGTTCTTAAGCACTTTAAGTTATCATAAAAGAAAACACTTTATTAGGTTATTACACTAGTTGGCGTTACACTTGGAAATGAGAAAAGAAACACCTTTCTACAATTATTTGCTACTGAAGTATTTAATAAAATTAGTTCACACCAACACACTTGAAGCCTGCCCTTCTCCTTCTAAGTATCCTCCAACACCTTTTTCTTCAAAATGTTAATTCCCAAGGACTTTTCCTGTATGTCCTGGAACCCGCTTATTCTATTCCCACCCAGGAAATAATCCATCACAGAAAACCAGTGCCAATGTTAAAACAACAAAATCCAAAATAGGGTCAAAGTTTCGGAAAAGCAGGGTTATTCACACTGATATTCTGATTTATTACTAGTCAGGTGCAAAACTGTAACATGAAACACACATTTAAAAAGAAACACAGCCTGAGCCCACATACTCTAAGCGTCACACATTTGGTGCAGGATTGACCCATCCCGGTGACGGTGACAGTGAGCCTTGCAGACTCTCAGGGATAACCAATGGCCTGCCACAGCTGGAGCTGGACCCACAAGTCCACACCACATGACCCAGAGTCTGTACTCTACCATTAAACTCACTGACCACGCGACCAACTACAGTCTTTAAACACTATCAGGTGAACCCACAATGCCTTATCTTCCTGGTGAGGGATTGTTCCCAACAAGATAAGGGAGGCTATTCTGTGACAGTATGAAAACGGAGATCATCTCTAATATTGAAGTAAAAATAAGGAAGATTCCATTTTGCCACTAATCTCAGCTTTTGGTCTTTCTCCTATTAAAGGTATTTGGCTTAAAATAAAGCTTACTTTTAGTGCAGCAATATCTGTATTTTTTAGTTAATTTTAAGGTACTTTAAATCAAGAACTTTTGGGATTCTGGCACTAAATGGCCACCAGAAATAAAGTCCCTGATTTCTAATATTCATTTAAGTGCCTGTTATGCCTAAAAGTACATTTTTTCTTAATATCAATGATGGTCATTTTACCTAAATGACATTTCTAATTTGTTTTCCTCTTTCACTTTTCAAACTTGAATAATGGTAGAGGTAATTCCAGAAGTATGTGTGTAGAAGTACATTCTTAAAGAGATGAGAAATAAAAAGGTTAAGTGACTGTTCACATCACACACAAAACAAAGATCATCAAGTTAAGACTGGATAAATAGTGGCTAAAAAAAGCACCAAGCTTCCTGAAAAAGTTTATGTAAATCTATCCAGAAAAATGTTTAAATTAGGACATTCAAAGAAAACAGCTTCAAAATAGTAACTAAATGCACTATCTAGAAAACTAAAATTCCTTAAATTTTTTAACAGTGCCAAAAGATGATACACACATAAAGAGCTCATTTGAGGGAACCCAAGAACTCACACAGAACCTCAAGATCTCAAGAAAGTCCTTTATAAATATCTAGCCGGACATTAACACCATTGTTCATCAGCTGACCTCAACCCTATGCCATTTAATGAAATGCTACAAACTTTCCCTAAAGGAAAGTACAACTTAAAAAGCATCAACACCTTGAGGGTCATTTAAAAGCTTCCATGTGAGAGGAAAAAGATGAGTTGGCCCACTCATCTTCTCTCAGCCTGTCCTTGGGAACATGCCTGGTTGTCCACAGTGCCTGACCCTGTCCAGAGGCCCTCTGAAGATCTGCCATGTTTGCCAATCAGTGTCTAATGTTCTGTCTGCGGCCTGGATGTGTCCCTGGCTTCTCTTTCTCCTGTTCCTCAGCTCCCTATTTATAGACATTCCTTGTTTAACAATGGAGCTCAGTTCCTGCAAAGAGATGTTAACTGAACTGGTCCCTAAATGAGGAACTGTATACTACATGTACATTACAATATTCAGAAAGACATGTTCAAAGGAACTCCAACTCAATGACTTTGCTCTTATATGCAGTAACGTAATGTTTAACATAAAGCTACAGTATTGTACTGTACAGTACAACCAGCACAATTACAGTACTGTACATAGAAGTCACCATAAGGTCACACTGCCATCACATTCTTGTGCTGTAAATTAAGACCAGCTGGGCCCTAAACTCAAGCAGCACAGGTTCAAGGCCAGCTTTAACTGCATAACAAAATCCTGTCTCAAGAAGACACACACACACACACACACACACACACACACACACAAAACACTCCTTAAAATACTCATCATACTATGGGAGTGGCTATGATAAAGAAATTGCATGGTATATTAAATTAACTCTCCCTTTGGACAGCGTTTTTCCTTCATGACTACTTCTCTTGAACGATCTGACAGTAAGACTTATAGATGTAAGTTTTACTAGTACAGTTTTAGACTACACTAGTATACTAGTTTTAGACTGTACTAGTGAAACTGTGAAAATCAATTTTAAGTCACGACTTTGACAATTATATTTAAGAATCAATTATATACAATAATCAATAATCATACTTCTCAGTAAGAGTCTTTTCCCTTTTATTGTTCACTCTGGAAAAAAATCCTTCTAGTCTAGTATTGTTTTGGGCTCAATCTGCCCTCCCCTCAGTCCTAAATCTGAATAGTCATTAAATGAGGAATATCTGTATAACATCCCCTATCCTCTAACTCAACAACTTTCACTTATATTTCTATTCAAGTACAGTAAGGATTTTTGGGTTAGTGTCCCTGATTAAGGCCTCTGGTCCTGTGCACTATGCCTCGATAGGACCGAGTGTTTAAATTCTTAACATATTATTTACATTTTGTTAGTTCTTATCCCTGGTGATGAACAGACACTGAGGAAATATTTACTGTTCAACTTTTTATTAAATGTAGTTCTTTTAAAGGCTGGAGATTTAGCTCAGCAGCATAAGCACCTGCCTGGCAAGCGTGAGGTCATGAGTTTGATCCCCAATACTAAAAAAAAAAGCTAAAAGCAGTTTTTTAAACAAGGTTGATAAAACCTGAGATAAGCAAACTGTACTCTCTCTCAAGACTGAATTTATTAAAGACAATTTTATCCATAATTAACCCAAATCAAACTGGTAATATTACTTCTGATCAGAAGTTTTCTTAGGGAACTACAAGGTAGTAATAGTTAAAAGCCTCCAAAGCTAGTGAGTGGTCTTTAGTTCCACACAGAATCAAATCTTTATAGGGTGGCCAGGCAGGCAACCATGTCTACAAAAGGTCTTCCTTGAAACAGACTCAGACAGCTATGCTGTAAGAATCACAGGCATTTAAGTTAAAATTGAATAGAATGCGTTGGGACTAAAAAAATGTTTCAGAATTATCATGGCAGATTAGATACAAGTGTCTTGGGAAAAACCTTGATCAGCTTCTAATGACCTTTATAGCTCACTCAAAAGTTTCTCTCATTCTTCTATAAAAACACTAAATTTATTTGTGATCCATCTAATTTTATGTTTAACACTGATGGGGTACATTAAAAGAAAATGGAAGTCTTTTATGTTACATAACAAAAGAAACCATAACTAAGAATTTATTAATTAAGCGGACCGCTAAATTTCAAATATCCCCAAATTACTAACAGATAATACTACTGAAGTTCTTTGAAGCAAACGCTGCCCTCAAGCCTTAAAATTCTGATGACATCTCTAAAATAAGAATCTCCTTAAAAACCAGCATGGTGGCATACCCCTGTAATCCCTGCACTCGAGAGGCTAAGGCAAGAGGATCACTTCGAGTTTAAGGCCAGCCTTAACTGCATGGCAAAATCCTGTTTCAAAAAGACACACACACACACACACACACACACACACAAAACACACCTTTAAATACTCATCATAGTATGGGAGTGGTTATGATAAAGAAATTGCATGGTATATTAAATTAACTCTCCCTTTGGACAGCGTTTTTCCTTCAGGACTACTTCTCTTGAATGTTCTGACAGTAAGACTTTTAAATAGATGTAAGTTTTACTAGTAGTTTTAGACTACACTAGTATACTTTAGACTGTACTAGTGAAACTGTGAAAATCAATTTTAAGTCACGACTTTGACAATTATATAAAAGAAACAATTATATATAATAATCAATAATCATACTTCTCAGTAAGTCTTTTCCCTTTTATTGTTCACTCTGGGAAAAAACCCTTCTAGTCTAGTATTGTAAAATCCACAGGTGCATAAAAAATGGCACAAACTGGTGGGGAGAAGCTAACAGTTAAAAAAAAAAGTAAGTGGGACAACACCAGAATGATTTCTCTTTTTAACAATGTCAAATATTTAGTTAACATAAGGCCTTCTTTCTTAATTATCCCTCATTTTAAAGAAAATTTACCTTTTTCAAAAAGCATGAAAGAATGGTCCTAAACATCTCTTAATGATGCTTTCTGTTTTTCTTGAGTAATGAGAAATTTCCAGATTGGTAAGCATAAGGCTATGTCTACACATGACCCACAAGAAATGTTTCTGACTTTACCAACTTTCTATTCCTACTCCCTCAAAAAAATATTGTGTTGACTTCACCAGTGATGTGGTGACAAATCTTATCAACTGGCTTAGTAACAAATGCTATAATTTATGTAAAAATTTTTATCAAATGATTAGTCATTGCAAAAAAAAAAGTAATGAAACAGGACCTAAACAAGATCTACAGTAAATCAAAATTTTTATAAATTTTTCTCTATCAAAATAATGCTTAAAAAAATATGGGAAAATTATACATAAGTTTCATGAATTCATAAAACTAAGATAAAATTCGTAATATTCATCATGCTGAATTCCAAATAAATTTCTAATTTTTATAATATTTCATATTATATGGTATCAAAGTATTTTTAAACTTACCCAAATGAAGCAATGTAAACTGGGCTGCCAGTTCCTTTGCATCTTCAATCGTAGTACAGAGTTTGTCTGGCATGAAGTAACTCTGGGACCCATTTGCAATAGCAGGAATAACTATTTTGTATACCAGGAGTACTTTCCCATCCTGACTGGTTGCTGAATACAAGTAATACTCTGGTGGTGCCCAATTATTTTTGTTGCAGTAATAATCCAAGTGCATTACTGCAGAATTAAAATGACTGGATTGCAAGGAATACATACTAATGGGAGTAAGCTTTGTCCCAGGGAAGAAAGGGTAAGTGCATCTCTCAATTTCAGGGGGGCTTGGGCTGTGCTGACCATTGAGACGAGCAGGAAGAGTTGGTGGCTTGCCTAGACTTTTGGGGTGACTGTCTTCTTTGTTAGCGTACACAATCAGGTTTTCAGGACTGGGGCTCATCTGACCATTAAGATGCTGCCTCCAGGTGCTCTCTTTATTCACTGGTTTTGCAAGTGTTACCTCAATACTTGCTCCATCGATGCATTTCCCACTCATCACAGACATAGCAGCCACTGCATCTTCTCGGTTGAAAAAGTGAACAAAAGCATAATCTCTAAGTTTTTTTACTCGTTCAACGGCACCCGGTTTGAATTTATTAAATTCTGCTTTAATTGTTTCCTCTGTAGTTGAGATCATTAAATTTCTTACAAAGAGAACTTTAACTCTCTGCATAGTTTCCTCATCAACTTCTTTCTCTGGATCAGCCCAATCCACTTGAATGGTATGGCCCCACAGTTGGAATGTACCTATAAAAAAAGAACCTATTAATTTGAAGATAATTAAAACAAAAAATGAAAGTTTAAAACGTTAACATGTTTCTCCAAAAAAGCAGAAACTCAAGTTCCTATCAATATGTCTGGTAATTCATATAGTAATTCACTACCAGAACTTATGATGGTATTTAATGAGTCAAGACAACAAATAAGGCTAGATCTTTACTGATTAAGTAAAATGCTCTTTGTATTTTTATTAAACAATAATTAACAGCACAAAGTATACACATTTGGTAATTGGTAAATTATAAATATGACTCAGAGGAAGAATCTGTCTATAAGAATGACTTGTTTTACTTCCTTACTCAATTCTTTATTCTTCAAGTGACATTATGAGTTATGTTAATAATGGTCTAACCACTGAGGTAACTAATCATTAATATTTTTCCATATTTATAAGATTGGTATGGAAAAGTTATCTTTCAAAGGACCAATGTACCTGGAATTAATTTTCTCCTAGCCATAGCAGCGGCTCTGTGAGATTCATACTTAACAAAAGCAAAACCACGATTTTTGGTCTTATCAGTTGCACTTGGATAAACAATGACATCTACAACTCCTTCTGTAACCTTCTTCATTTCATCCAAAATTTCTTCTTTCTTCTTTTCCTTGGGAATAGCTCCAATAAATAATCTGCAATTATCCAAGCTCACACAGACACCAATAAACTTCCCAGGCCGAATCTCATAATTATTAAGAATTCTAATAGCCAATTGGGCTTCTTCTTTCGTAGTATACATCACAAAAGCATAACCTCTATTTTCACCACTAAATTCCATCATAAGTCGAAATTCATATATCTTCCCAGCTCTTTCAAATACAGGAACTAACTCATCTTCATACATATCTCGAGGTATTTTTCCTACAAAAACCTCACACCCCCTTGGTGGAGGTGGACCTTCCCAACCTGAAAGACAAAAATAATATACATAAAAAAATTGAAAAAGATACTTATTATTGAAACAGTTATTCATTCAATAAATTTTCCAAACGTGCCAAGCACTATTCTAGGTGTTGGGATCAAAAGCCCCTTCCACTGTGAAGCTTATATTCAACACAGAAGCCACATAAAGGACAATGTTTCCATTAAGGTCGTCAAATAAAGCTCTGAGCACAGGATGTTTAAATGAAGACCAGAATGAATGAGCGAATGATCAACCAGCACAATCCAGGAAATGGAAAAGCAAGCGGTTTATGTATCAGAGCAAACTCAGACTGAGTGCTGAATGGCTAACGTACCCTCAAGAACGGAGCACAGCAATAAACCAAGGAAACAGCCACTGAGGGAACCAGAAGCCAGAACTCTTGAGTGTAACACGTCACCTTGGAGGGTTCCAAGCAAAAGAATTACACTGGCTACTGGCAGAAACATAAAAACATTTTACCTGCTTACCTGTTTGAATCCGTTTTCTCATATAACTATACTCTGCTCACTGATCTTTCAACTTCCCTTCCAAATGCCCTTCCCTTTAACTGCAAGAATATACTTAGGACAATGCCCTCATCCTGGCTTCTTTATCAACTCTGCTTCTTATTCATCTGCTTCTTACACCAAGAGCAGGACTGCAAGATTATAAGGGTAACATTTATAATCTACATCAAAATGATCGCTCAGGTCTTACAGCAGTTACAAGAAAAGGGTTATTCTTTAAGAAACTCGTAGGGTACACACCAAATCCAAATGACTGCTTTGAAAATTTAACTGAAAAGAAGATAATTTCAGGGGCTGGGGATTTAGCTCAGCGGCATAAGCGCCTGCCTTGCAAGTGTGCAGTCATGAGTTTGATCCCTGGTATCGATAAAAAAAGAAAAAGACAAAAAAAAAAAAAGAAGATAATTTCATACCCGGAGGAGGACCCCCAAATTTCCTTTGTCCGTTTTCTTGAACCATGTTGTACCCAGTCTTCTCCATCAATGCAAGCAGTGCCGCTTCATTCTGAATACCAGTTCGAACTTTGCTGCATCCATTTGTTCCATCCATGTTTTCTTCATTCATGGCTGCAGTTCCTGAAGCAGAGTTAAGTAACAGTGTAAGATTATGACATAGCATCAGTAATCTAAGAAGCAATTCTCTGGGATGCTCTTCCCAACACAAGAAACTAGAAACTACCCTTAACGTTACTGACCAATTAAGCAGTACCTTTAGAAGGCTTAAGTTACAAGACAGAGAGACAAAGTGGAATGAAAAAGAAACAAAAACAAAAATGGAAAGAAAGAAGTGAAAGGGAAGAAAAAAATAGCACACTGCCACCGAAGAATGTGTGATCACTGCCAAGGTTCAAACTATTATGTCATGGAGGCCAAGTGAACTCTATGCGACTCACACATGTCAGACGCAGGTACCAAACGCCAATACTGCTCATTTTGTCAGCAATTCTCAAGAAGGTCACTAGTTTCCAGAAACTGAATAGATGCCTGGAATAAGTAAACTGCTTCAAATTAGCCCCCTTTCCCAAGTTCCACAAGCCACTAAGGAGAGCAACAAATACAACTCCTGATTATCTGAGCAGAAAGAGGAGCAACTATGATTTTCATCTAGCAGCATCTATAAAAGCTTTTTGTTTGCCTGTTTGAAAAGACAAGCCATCCTGCTATGTAGTTCAGGCTGGTCTTGAACTCACTATGTAGCCCAGGCTATCTTGGAGCTCTAAGCAGTCCTCCTGCCTCAGCCTCCTGAGTGCAAGGATTACAGGCATACACTACCACAGCTGGCTAGAAACTTTTATCAGTAGCTGGGCAGGCAACAGCTGAAGCAAAAGCAAAACCATGAAGACATCTCCCAATCACTATACATAAAAATGCATTTTAATTTTCACAAATAAACTTAATTACCATGGTTTAAGTTTTCTTCCTAGAGATACATGCTGTGGTTTGTGCTGCCACTTGTATCTGTATCTCTCTCATTTACTAGTGCTACTATGAATACAAAGAAAAATTAAAATTCACAGTATGAAAAATGAACTGTGAAAGCTATTTGGCTTTCATCAGAGCATCCTTATAAATGGAAACCAAGTACCAGTGGCACAATGTTTGAAAAGTATGAAATTTTGGCCACAATAACTCAAGTTTAGGCTTCCTACTTGTGCAAACATAGACAACTTACATTTTTTTCACACCTTAGTCTCTTCATTCAAAACTGGGAACGTCAATACAAGCCATCACATGAGTGCTTTTAACATTGAATGAAACAGAGTATGTAAAAGGCTGGTTAAAATTAAAGTACAGGGCTGCAGATTTACTTCAGTGGCATAAGCGCCTGCCTGGCAAGCTTGAGGTCATGAGCTCAATCTCCAGTAACAAAAAAACAAAAACAAAAATAAACAAATAAATAAATCTCAAGCATGGTTAGTTTTGATAAATATGAAACCAGCAAGTGCATCTTAAATTTTTATGCACTGACAAGTTCACAGAAGAGCGTATTTCTGTACATCCCTCATTTACTCAAAACTGAGAGCTAAGTATGACACAATAGACACATGCCTCAGGCAGAGCGTCAGCATCTACTCCGTGGGTGCTGCAGCGAGATGGGAAGCAGAGAGGAGGCCAGCACTAGTGTGAGGAACACTGACCCTGGGAAGAAGACGCTGTCAGCACGTACAGCACAGTGGCTGTGGAGCAAGCCAAACTTGCTGGGTTCATAACCTTTCTTTTCACTTACTTCCTCACTTTAGTAAGGTACCTTAGCTCCACTCTACCTCCACTTCCTCATCTGTGGTACACACACAACAACGCCATCTAGTCTCACAAAGTTTTTATGACGAATCAGTTGACATCTAAATTCATTTTTGGTCTGAATAAAGTTTATTGTTTACTATTAGTTTTATACATCTATTATAACTTTTCAAACCACTAGACATTCTCCATTACAGGAAGAGTCAACCTTGCAAAAAAGAAACTATTATTTGCATTTAGACAAAGAAACAGATTTAAGACCATAGAGCTAGTGACAAAAAAAATTCAAACGCCTGTTTGATCTCAAAAATCGGCCCTCTCACCACAATTATTCTGGCACATCTCCCTCAACTCTATCTCAAAGAAAAGGAAGCATCAGAAGTGATTTTTATGCAAATGGAATTATCAAAAATTATGAACTGATACATATAGTGGCCTCTGAGTGATAAGTAAAACAGACATACACACACACACACACACAGTATCATTTAGTCTTTAAAAAGCTGTTCCAAGTTAATACAATACTGCATCGAGTGAAGTAGTTCTTTAAAACAAAGGGCAGAAAAGTAGCTTATGCACTCAAAAGAGTTTCTACTTACCATCTACTTCATTTCCCTAAACTTACCCCCTGTACCCCAGATTTCTTTCCCAGCTAAGACTGCTTGTTCAAATAGCTTTATCAATATGTGTTCAAAACAAGGAGTTCATTAGACATCTCAAATGTAACACACCAAAACTGAAAGCCATTTTATTTTCTAAACCTGGTCCTTTTTTTAACCTTATTTCAAACAATTCATTTATTCAATAAATAAATGATACAATAAACACACATAAGTCCTTCTCCTCCAAATTACTGTAGCTAGAAACCTAGTAATAAATAATCTCTATCTTTCCTTTGAAACACAATTAACTCATTATAAGAATCTGCAGATTTAAAATATTTCTTGAAATCAGCCTTTTCCTGTCAATCCCTACAAGTTGTTCTCAATAATTATTTCTTATTCAGATTGCTTGTAGGTTCTATATGCTATTTCTAACTTGTCATCTTGCCCCTCTCAGATGAAATCTCCACAATGCTGCCAAAGTGATGTAAAACATCTGATTACATTAAACTTATACCTCAAATGAAAACTAAAAAGACTATTAGTAAATTCATTTTTATCCTTAATATTAGGAAAGCTTTTCTAAAAATAAATTTTTGGAAGTCTCAAAGAAAAGTACTAACAAATTATGTTTTACTAAATAAAGATACTTTGGAAGCCAACCACCATAAAACCTAAGTACAAAAATTATAAGCAGGAAAAAAATTCTCTTAAGCATCCATGATTTAAAGTACCCCTTTCCTTCAAATAAAAAGAGCAGCATGGCACTGTGGTTAAGAGTAGATGCAGGTACCATGCTACCTATGTGTAAAACTACAGTCCTTCCCTCTACTGAACATCCACTGGCTCACTACAGGATGTATACTGCTTGCTGCTTACAAAGCAACAGATACACAGGGCTTCTACTGCCACTTTATTCAAGATGCACAACTAAATCTAATAAACAGGAAATTTTTCCTACTGTAATTCACAGCTAACTCCAAATGGCTGATTTCCACAGCTCAACCCATGCCTCTAATTTACCTTACAAACATTTTGGATTAATCTTGTCTTCATATTGTACTTTTAAAGAAACTACCCAAGACTTATGCTTAACGAGTAAGCCCTGTCCCTCTATTAAACACTCATTTTACCACAGAGTGACTAGAAACATATGCCAAGACTTTAACCATCTCAAATACTTCAATCAAAAAACTTGAAATAACAGAAGCATAGGAAACACTGGAGAGGCACCAATCCTAGCCACTCTTTAGAAAGTATAGTCTTGTTAAAATCTCCAAACAAAAGTAACATATACACATGTAAAATGAACACTTCATAAGAGTTTAAAAAAACTTCAACACCATTTCAAAGCCTAATTCTTTTTTTTTTTTTTTTTTTGGTCTTTTTCGTTTTTATCGGTACCAGGGATCAAACACAACTGCCTGCTTGCAAGGTAGGCGCTTATGCCGCTGAGCTAAATCTCCAGCCCCAACAAAACCTAATTCTAAAGGAGCCAGAGTTCAAGAATCTGAGTCACAGAATTATAATCGAATCTTTAAAAAGTACAATATTTTATATTCATTTTAAAATATTCCAGAATCATTCAGCAAGTTACTCAAATGCTTAAGAAAGCACAGCAAAAGTGAGAGTGGTAGATTTAAAATTGTATTAGCCTATATAAGTGTAGCCTTCACAGACAAAGCCTTTTTTTGTGAACTTTGGTCTTTCAACCATTGCTCTCTACCTCGGTTTCAAAAGAAAAAAAAAAAGTCCATTAAGCTAAAAGCTAAGGCAGTAAGGCTAAGCACCAAACAGATCCTCAAGAAACAAGTCGAACAAATCATAAGAGTGCTGACTAATCATTAATTTTAAGCATGTTCAGCTAACAAAAATAAAAATTTTCAAATTTTTACTTCCTTTCAAAATAGATTAAAGAAAACACGACAAGCACAATTTTAGAAAAATATGAAAGTAATCATTTATCCAAAGGAATTTGTGGCATCTGTATTCTGACTCAAACAGAAAGTTCATCCCCCAAATTACTATAAAAACTTACAAGACAATGAAAATGAACATTATATTTACTTTACTGTAGGTTTTAAAAATTAAATGTAAAATGAAAAAAATTTTAAATATCAAAAAAGTTTATAGAAGGTACATATCTTTAGAATATTCCTTAAATTACATGAATAATAAATTCCTGATTAGTTCAGTTGTTCAGCATGGGACATGTAGACCATGACTGCCAGAACAATGGCGATTTTGAGAAGCAATTCGTTTTAGTGACAGCACACCACAAAATGTTAGCAAAATAGAAGAATTGATCGAAAGTATGTAGATTTGTCTAAAATTATTTCAAAATAAACATGAATCAGCTCAATTCTACTTTACATTATTTCTGTTAAAGGATGTATTTTATTGCAAAAGTTGAACATATGTTAATTAAAATATTAATTAATTTAAATACTATTTTAATTAAAATATTAATTTTAATGTCAGATGTTTCATACACCTAGTATTGCCGCTGAACAAAATTTAAATTTAGGATGACACAAAAGTTTATTTTAAAAATAAATTTGTAATTCACAATGAATTTTTGAAATATTCTTGGGACACTTAAGTATATACGTTCTTTGAATTTAGGAAAACGCTATCCACATATTATTGTCCAAATTATTTCTTAAAAGTCTTCTATAATCTGGTATGTGAAATTTGCTAACAAATTGAACGCAGAGATCACATTTTCTTCCCTCATGTGCTTACCTCACCATCTAGCAGTAAAATAAAAGGGAAACAATACTGAGCAAAATATGAAAATTTTATCCTAAGTATTCGATTTCTATTCACCACCTTTTCTCAACGGTAGGTCTGCGTCCTACCAACAAACTGGCAACATTAATCAGAGGCTTAATTTCAGTTCAGAAATTGATGCTTGCCTCGCAACAGACCAGTCAATAACACACAAAGTACATTAAACTTAGAAATGTGTAAGTCTAACACTCCCCCTTCCTAGAAGGAGAGCACCATTCAAAGCAGAGCCACGAGCAGGAAATAAGGCACTGTTACTACTTAGCGACATCAGCACTACTTTAACAGTCACCTTTGCGGCTAACGGCCCATTACCGCCAACACGATTAAAACAACGTGTTCACCAGCGGATCACTGCACTCATAAGGGAACTGATTCTGAACTGCTCCCCTACAAAGCCTGACACACTGGGCCATACGTTTATGGCGCTCGAAAGTACCTTCCCACTACTGCAACGAGCGAATCTCCACCACGGAAGCTGCACAGCGCCGACTGGTCCTAAGCGGTCTCCGACCCCACGCGGCCGACGCCCCGCGACGCCCTGGACGACCCAGCACACCGCGCGATGTGCGGTGGACAGCGCTGCCTCGGCGGGCGCGAGGGCAGCGAGATCACGGTCCTGGCCAGGCTGCGCGGGAGCCGCCGTCCGCAGCGACCTGGGGCCGCCGAGGCCTGAGAGCCCACGTCCCGCCAGCCCGCACCCAGGGCGCCGTCCGGTTCCGCCGTCTCCCCGGTAACTCCAAGGCTTGGAAATCGGTTATCGAAACCAGACGTTGCGCGGGAGAATGAGCGCCGCGTGAGTGCGTGCGTTCGTGCGCACGCGCCACCGCGGCCACACCCGCGCACACGGCCAGCCGTGGAAGAAGCTTCGAGGCTCCAGAGCGGGACCCAGGGCGCCACCGCGTGCGGCCGGTCACCGAGCGACGCGCGAGGACTGCGCTGGCCACGACTGGGCGCTCCCTCCAGACGGCAGGAATCATCGTCTTTCCCGCCGGCCCGGCCCCGCCGCCGCCGCCGCGACCCCGGCGCCCACCCGACGGCGCGGGCGGAGGCAGAGGCGCCCACGGCGCCCGCGGGCCCACCGCGAGCAGCGGTCCGGTCGCGACCCCGCCGAGCCCCTGCCGATCCCCTGCTCACCCCTTCGGCTCTTCAGAAGTCGATCTTAAGTCTCGGGGACCAACGACGCAAACCGCCGCCAGCACGCTGGGCTGGTCGGTTGGCGTGGGGTCGCCGCGAGGGGGCGGAGCTCGCGCGGGCCCTCGTGCCAGGGCTCTACTCCCGGCGGGCCCCACGCGGAACAAGGCCTCAGCCAATCAGCGGCCGGACCCGGGGCGGGGCGAGGAGAGTGGGCAGGGCCCAGGGGGTCCTTCCAAAACAGGTTCGGGGCGGGGAAGTTACACTGGGGTGATGAGCGTTGAAAGGCTTGCATAATTTTGTTGCTGGTTTTTTGCGGTACTGGGGATGGAACTCAGGACCTTTGCACGGAGCTCTTTCCCAGCTCTTTGTCTTTGTTCTAATTTTGAGACAGAGTCTGGAATGCTAGGCTTACAGGTGTGCGTGCTTCAAGATGTTGAGCAATAAAGGGCTCTAACTTGAACTTTTGTATTTTAACTGCTTAAGGTAAAATACAGTATATTAAAGAGTTTTGTCGACAGAATCAAGTTCACCTGCTAGCTTGACACAACATCTGTAACTGTGGATATTTTTCTATCAGAGCAAGGGGGAGTGGCTTACAAAGCTACTTGACGTCTTGAGCTCCTATTTAAAGTGAAGATTATAAAGGTTAAATAATGTTGAGCACTTTGTGCTAGAATCAGTTCCCAGGGACTTTCTGTATTAGTTCATTCGCTGCTCAACAGTTCTTCAACCTACTTTACACTACGGGAAAAGTGAGATGCAAAAAGCATAAGTACTTTACACAGGGTTACACGAGAACCCATTTTAGTTCTTGAAACCTCCAGACCCAGCCGCTGTGATACACTGTCTCAAAATGTGCCCAAAGCTGGAGCCCTTGGCAGGTACACCCTGAAAGCAAAACAAACTTTTTCTTAAATTCTCTGCCCTTCGGTCAGGGAATACCAGTCTCATGTTAATGCTCCTCGGTGCATTCAAAATAACTAGAAAACCAAGATTGACAGTCTACTCAGCTTTGGGGAAAAAAACTATCGCCAATCCTCTACTTCAGGAATTGAAGGACTGATAGCGCGTCTGTAATCCCAGCACTTGAGCCTGAAGTAGAGGCTCACCAGTTACAGGTGAGCCTGGGCTACACAAGGGAAATAATGAACAAAAATTTCTGCAAGAATAGTGTTTGCTTCATAAGCGCATACACTATAAAAACTACAAGGGTAATCGTTGCTACATCGTATTTGTTACTGTTTGTTGCTTCTGTTTCACGTCGCTATAAAAGAATTTTCCCCGTTCTTTTTCATGCCGATGCATTCTCAATTCCTAGTAGTTAATTGCAAATGCAAGTGTATTTAAGGTTAACCTAACAGAAGTAGTACTGCAACAGTTTAGTAGTTGTACCAGCCTTTAAAAGCCACTAGGTGGAGCTACGTCCTTATTAAGTGTAAAAGAAAAAAGGATGATTTGTTCTTGACAGTAATGGTGTTACCATTTCCGGTTTTCTTACTCCACCCCTCGCCCATTTTTTTTTTTTTTTTTTTCTTCTCCTCACCCCCTCATGGATAAATAAAACCAGCAAACAAGGTCTTTGTTTTTTTACTGTGCCAAGGCTCAAACCAAGGAAATTCTGGTGCAGGCTAGGCAGCTGCTCTGCCGCTGAGCCACACCGGCAGCCCAAAAAGGGTATTTTAAAACTCACTAGCGTCAGGCCAAAATCGTTATTTGAAGACCCTTTCCATATTTCATGTTATATGTTCTTTTGATCGGGTACCTTCTAATGATTCTGGTATCCAAAGTTTATTAGTATTTTTCAGATACTGTAAAGCTATTTTCTGTATGAAAAACTTAAGGAATAGCCTTTATTTTCAAGGTCCCTAGGGAAAAAAGTCTAAAACACTTTGGTCAATTAGGATTCTTCAACAATAGACTAACTTAGGATTTATTGTAAGTTTGTGAGGAAAGCTGAATAAAAAGATGAGCAATGTAGAAGTGGTTTTTTACTAAAAAGCGAGAAATCATTGTGTTAGAGATAAGCATCAGAGATATCTCTAGAAGCGGAGCTGTGTAAATATGAGGGAGGGAAATAATACTGAGGGACATGCAATGAAAAAGTTTCCAGTAAACAATGGAAGGAAGCTGGACAGGGTAGCAGCAATCCGGTTCTCAGGAGGCTGAGGCAGGAGGACCACTGCAAATTGAAGACCAACCTGAACTGCATAGCGAGACCCTATCTCAAACAACAACAAAAAAAATACCAGCCTGGGGCACACAGTGAGCTCGAGTTTAGCTTGGGAGACAGATGAAAGGTTAGAGATACAGACACTAAGAAAGGTACCATTTTGAGAACTTTTTTCTCCTTTTCTCCACTGTGCGTAGTGAATGAGCTGATGGGTTTCATTGTGGCAGATTCTTGCATGTGTTCTCACACATTGAGTTTTCTCACACACTCCCATCATCCTATTGTCCTGCCTTTCTCCCAGTTTACATGATTTGGGGTATACGCTGCACTCATCTGGCTGCTCTTGATGGCCCGCCCTTATACCACTACCCTTAACTCTTACTCCCTCCTTCTTGTCTACTAAGTATCCTTTCCACTTTCTTCAACCTGACAACACAGTTTCTGCTTCCTTCTGGGAAGGAAGGAAGATCTCCAGGTCCAGTTGGTTGCTTGGCTTGGGCCCAGGGCAGTGGGAAAGACATTAGACCCTCTGGCCTCAGGTTCACTATTTAACATCATCCCTGATGAGGCATTTACCCAAAGGGCTGTCTGCAGATCCCAGGTGTGGTGGGCTGATAACCCATGGTCAGCTTGTAACACCAGCTGAACTGAATCAGCGTGGTGCTGGGTGCGGATGGCCCATCTGAGGATTGTTGCCAAGATACAAAGACCTGGAGAAGTTGTTACTGGTTCTTCTGGGTGGCATTGGGTCTTCGGTTGTGGGTTCTCCTGGAGAAGCTTATCAAGCTTCTTTCCTGATGTGAACTTGGCTGTTCTCATTGTCAGAGGAGCTTGGGACCTTGTCGCTGACAATAGCTGTGGTTCACATTGGGGGAGCTCTGTTCCTTAACTTTGAAAATCACCTCCGGGCTTTGGAAGGGGAGATGTGTACCGCTTGGTCTCCAGAAGCTTGTCACTCTGACTTTCTGATACAAACTCTGCTGTTCTCATCGTCGGAGCTCAAGTGCTCAATGCTGCGGTTCTCTTTGGGGGAGCTCTGGTCCTTACTTCAAGCGTCGCTTCCTGGCTCCAGTACAGATCACTCAGCCTGCTGGTTCAGGTCCTTCACCCTATTGACACAGACTTTCTAGCTTCCACTGCTCACCTTTGGGCCTTCCCAGTGCAGGTCCTTGATAAGACTTGCATGAGACATTGTTGTGGGCTCTAGGTCTTCAGCTGGAGTTCAGTAGGGCATTACTGTCGGATCCAGGTCCTCTGCTGGATTCTTTGAGGTCTTTAGTGTGTGGACATAGTTCCTGCACTTTTCATGTGTGACTCTTTAGGTGACTATTATAAAATAATTCCATAAATTATGTGTCCTGTATTGAATTGTTTTCCTTGCAATCCCTGACTACACGACCAGGTCTACCTGCTGGGCTGCTGGGCACGTACTCATATAGGAAGATGATACCTGAGGTTATAGTAGAAAAATACCTATCGTAGTACAATGAAAAATGCCTTAGTACGATGAAGCCCTTGGGCCTTTCTGATCAGGAAACAGCATCTTGAATAGATGCCTGGAGGAGTAAGAAAGGACTTGGAGCAGGTGCTGGACTAACTCTAGAATAGGAGGCATGTGGCCAGCAGCTGCCCAGCCTAAAGGGTAACAGACACCCAGGCTCCCGTGACCCATCTTATCTGTCCACAAATGTAATTACTGCTAAGCTTGCAAGCGCCCAGAAGCTAAGAGCACAGGAGAGCCAGGCTTCTGCTGGCATCTCTATAGGTGACACAAGGTACAAAAGCTAGGCACGCACACCTGTGGCCACAGTGCCTGGGTTCGAATCCCAGCTCCATGCCTCAGGAGTTGGGCAACCTCAGAGCATTCAACCTATCCTTACTGGCCTTTTTCATCATTTATGAGACAAAAATGATCCTAAAAATCTTGACCTTGGATCCTGCTAAGTGATTCAGTAAGACCATCATTTACCATCCCAGCCCCTATCACTTACATTCAAATTTGTAAAAGATGGCAAGATGTACAGGGCCATAGAAGTTTTATTCCAGTATCTAATCCACCCCCAGCAAGTACTCATGGAGCATGTTCAGCATGGATGCACCGAAATAACCGGGGCACAGAATGAGAACAGGGCAGCAACCAGTCGGCTGCTGGTACGCAGGCAGAAGTGGGTGGGTGCCAAGGCCAGCAAAGAAGTGTGAACAAAGCAAGCCAGAGGACAAGGGCCAGCATACAAGGTGCATGCCTGTCTAGGAGCAGAGGTCGGAGGGTCTGGCTAGGGAGCATGTGGGGTCAGGCGGAGAAGGGCCTCAGAGGCTGCGCTGGAGCTCAGGTTTATCCTGCAGCCAGCAGCCAGCTGCTGCATGACAGTGCGTGTTGAGGGCGTTCTCAAGCAGAGCGTTTGGCAGGGCAGGCAGAGGTGCCAGGAACAGACGCAAAGGAACAGGCTGAGGTAATGAAAACCGAGATGGGGAAAGGACGGTCATCTTTTGACCTTGAAACACAAAGTGCATGCAGCACCGGCTCACCTGCAAAGCCAAAGACAGCATGACCTGCCTGATTTCTCCAGTTGCCTTCTCTTTGTACCATGCTACTGTTTATGGGAGTCTCCAACGCTGAAGGGTAAACATTGCACTTGATTCCGTCTGCATTTCCTCCCAATTTCTCTTCTGAAAAAATACCACTTCCATGACCATTGAAGTTTTCTTTCTTATGGTTTTTGAATTATTTTTCCAAAATGAAGTTGCAATTCTGTTATCTAGGAATCCTGCATTGCAGAGAAGTCAATGTTGAGCGGGGTATGGAGTAAATTCAAACTAGCTTGACAACTTACAGTGAAGACAGAGTTGACAGTAACAGCAGCAACCCCACTCTTCAGGAAACTGCAGTGTTACACTGCCGAATCAGTTACACGTGTCAGACAGAAAGTCAAGAGAGAAACCCAACAGAGAATTCCAAAGGGAAAAAATGAAGAATTAAGCAAGAAGAAATTTAAAATGGAAAGAAAAGACCACTTTAAGGATTATAAAAGTTATATTTATTCA